TTTTGGGGGCGGCCCCCCCCCCCCCGTCCCTGCCGCTGGCAGGGTGAAGCCGAGCAGCGGGCAGAGCCGTGTGCTTGGACCCAGGAGGCTCTGGATTCAAGTCCCGGCTCTGCCGCTGAGGGAGCTTGGGCGAGTCCTCCTACTCTGTGCCTTAGTTTCCCTGCCCGCGTGCCGGGGATGGCGCTCCGGGCTTTCCTGGTGATGCCCATTGCTCATGTCGATCCCCATCTTCCCATCCATCTATTTTTTGGGGAAAAACGGGGGTCCTGTGCCTGCTGCACCCAAACCCCAGCCTGACACAAGGCAGCAGCTCACGTTTCCTAGGAGCTTTTCCAGGGCAGCAGTGCCAAAATGCGGCTCTCTGCGGCACAGGCAGCTCCCTGTCTCCGGGCCTTTCCCAAGTTTATTTTTTCTGGGGTGAGTTGGTTACCTACCTCCCAAGATGGGCTTTGCAGGAACTTAATGCTGTGTAACGTGTAACTAGAGAGGAAAATACAACAGGTCCCATTCGTCTCTGGCAGGAGTGAGTCAGTGCTGACGCATCGGTGTTCAACAGGGGTGGAAAATGGCCCGTTTATCTATATATAAGAAAAATATATATATATATCTCCCAGAGGATAGGCTGGAATACATAGTAGTATATTCAAGGGGAGCCAGGCAGAAAAGGCAGCCAAGAGGTTTTAAAGTTAAAACCACATTTACACAAACACTGGGGCTTACAGAGCTTCTTCAGTGTAAGTAGTCGCAGGGCCCCCGATTTAGCGGCGCTGCCAAACGCCGCTGGCTCCCGGCTGCCCATTCCGCTCCCTGCCGAAGCCGCCGCCTCGTCCCGCCTGGATGCGCCGGTGATGGGCTCCGCTTTGGGGCCCAGCTGGGAGCCGGGAGGGCACCAGTGCCCACCCCTAAGCCCGGGGGGCAGAGCTGGCTGTGATGGGATGGCCTACGTGCCAGGGAGGGAAAATGCAGCCCTTGGCCATGCCGAGGGCTCAGCACAGGGATGAGGGCTGGGAAGATGAGCTGTCTTTGCCCTCGGTCTCCTCGGGGTCTGTGTCTTGGACCCAGTGAACCCTAAAACATTGCGCACGGTGGGAAAAGGGGAAATTAGCCTTTCAGCGCTTAATCTTTGGATGAAATCTCGACCTTTCCCAGCCAACGGGAATGTTGCCCGGACGCGTGTCCGGACAGGATTTTGCTCCCCACGTCCTGAGCTCCTGATTCCAAACCACTTTGTGTCCCTCGCGCCAGCCTTTCCTGCTGGCGTTTGCCTTCGCGTGAGCTGTCAGCGGTGACATAGCGCAGGGCTCGGTATCAAAACCAGCGAAACCCGGTTAAAAAGCTGCAGACGTGCAGGAGCCCCTGCTCGGAGCCGTCCCGGGAGGAAGGGGATGGGAGCCCCGTCTCTGCCGAGTGCCTGCAGGAAGAGATCCCGCGTGTTACGCCAACATCCCAGCTCTGTCCAAGCCCCAAATGCGTCTGTTTTTCAGCAAAACTCCCACCGTTTGCAGCAGGGAGTTTTGCCAGAGTAAACAGAGCGGATCCGGGCGGTCGCCCCGTGCGCTTGGCCGTGGGCGGCGCGATGGCCCATGGAGGGGTCACGGGTTGCGGAGCCCTCCGCGCGCTGGCCAGGGCCAGGGTGCAAGTCCCTGTGTCCCTGCAGGGCTCTGGGTGTCGGGAGGGATCCTGCACTTTTCTCTTTCCTCTCGGTCCCTGCTGCCAAGGGGGAGCAGCTCGGTGGGAATTGCCGGGCGTCCGGGCTTTGCTTTCTGCCCTCAAGGGCCAGTTGCTCAATTCATCTCCGTCCCATTAGCTGGGATAGGGATACGCGGCTTTGTGGAGTGTTTTGAGGGCTTCTGGAGATGCGATGCAGCTGGAAACAGTTGTCAAATCCTCTCCTTCCTGCTGCTGCTTTTTATCCCAGTTGGAAGTGCTACAAATCCTCATGATTCAGGGCAAATTCAACACAAATTCCAACCCTTTTCAGATGGAAACAACGCCCCAGGCCATTGGGAAGGCGTTTGCTTGGGCACACTGATCCCATGTTCCCAATAATTTGTGGTGTAAACTGGAACCATTAGGAAATGTGCATTGCACCAACCCGAGACCTCTGACTTTTGCTGCAAGTGAAAGGATAAAAGTGGTGTGTGGTGGGCTCAGGGAGAGAGCACTGTGCGCTCTGAACAAGCTTTCTGTCTCCTCTTGAATAATTTCTGCTGTCACAGAGTGTTCCACGTTTTAATTAGGATTTTTAAAATATACAGTTACTGTAGAGTCTTTTACAGTGTGTGAAGAAACTGTATCAGAATAATATAATGATATTAGAGACTATGATTTGCCATTAAATATTATACAGACATAGCTCTGGGTTGTCTTTCCTTTAAATACCAAACCAAAAGAGTTGTCCGATTCTCTCTCGCCTGTTTTTCCATGTCCTGTTCATCTGGCTTAAAATCACAGAGATTTTATTTTCCAAGTGTGTCCAAGGGATTTGAGCCAAAAACATATTTTTGTTGCTCAATTGTGAAGGGAATGGAAGAATCCTAGGATCCAAGAGCAATATTGCCATTCAAAATAAGAACTTATCTCACTTCCCTCTGTGGGTCTCTTCTACCTCTGCCCTCAACTTAACAATAACGAAGGTGGGTTTTATATATATAGAGAGAGACACACTTCTTTCCTTAGTGTTTCAAGCTTTTTAGAGTATGAATTTCTGAGGTTCTCAATATAATGAGGCAGTTTTGAGCTCTCCACACACACAAGCATTCGCACCAGCAGCTTTCTTTAAGCAAAGGCTGAGTTTTGGAATACCAAACGTCAGCTGGAGCTACAAGAAAACAGGTTATTGGGCGAGTTGCAACTCATGAGAGGTAGCAGCGCTTCAGCCGGGACCTTCAGGGAAAGCTGAGTGGCTCTTTGCTACTGCCTTTAATGGGAGAGGAATCAGGACTGTTTATTGTAACTGATTCTTAAAAGGGAAACTTACAGCTTATTAAAAAACGGATATGAAAAGCACAAACTCGTTCATTTCTTGCCAAGAACTATACGGATTATGTCACTGCATTTATTTAAATCTGGTTTCCATTATGTTGCTTTTGTGCTTTTTCCCCACCCCAGCTGATTCTCAAGCACGCAGACAGGACCGGGGACCAGCCTGCAAGCCCTGCAGGGAAAAGCTCAAAGCTATTACAAAATAATTTAGGAAAATATATTTTATTGATATGCTTGCATATTGAGTAGGTTTCTGATATGAAGACATCCTCTGATTACCTTGGTGGGGCTTCTATTTTAAATTAAATTATGCAACCATCATGTTTTTTTTTAAGTTATTCCCATCTGCTTGCTTGCCCACTTGGAGGCAGTAGATACACTCACAGTGTAGCTATGCAAATGCCACAGATATTTTCCTGCTCCCAAATTTCTTCCAGACATGCCTTGTAGTTCCTTCAGTTTAACTCTCTTGAAGGTAAAGGCTTAATTTTACAAACTGAAAGCAGGGTGATTTCTGCACAGAGAGTATTTAAAATGGGGCTCTAAAATCTGTTTTGCCACCCCCTGAAACACAAAATGTGCATCTAGCATCTGAATTTGAAATCTTAATCTAAATTTGGAAATTCTCAGCATCCTGCTGTGTCATTTTATGTACTACCAGGTAGCCAAGATGCCTTTTTTTATTCTATTTTACTACTAAATAGCTGAATTGTGCCCTGACCACTCACAAAGAGTCCAATTCTGTCTCTGTTTCACTTAATTCTGGGCTTTTCCCTGGGAGATCCTGCCAAACAGCATTAAAATCACTTAGGGTTGCATGTGATGTGCAAACAGTTCCCCCTTACATGCTGAACTGGACAGCATCCCAGGAAAAGTGAATGCTTTATCTGCTTGTGGGCTGGCCAGGAAATGCCTTTGGGGAGGAAAAAAAAAAAAGGACTGCAAACCACAGCAAAAAAATGCAGCATTTTAGAACGAAATGGCAATTTGAGCAGTGCTGGAGTATTTTTGCTTTGCTTTTTTTTGCTTTGCAGGTTCCCAGCCGTGAAGCGCAAATTTCCCAAGGCACCGCAGAGCCACCTAAAAACAGGCAGCCAGACAGACCTGTGCCAAGCGGAGCAGGCTCCAAACGACGTAAATCCTTTTATTATACATGGCCAGAGGGACACGTGGTCGGATGCTTAGCAGGTTTCTCAATGCTTCGAAGAATCCTCCCGCAAGGAGGAGAGCGGATCTTCGGATTATCCCTGCTGCTCCCTGTGGAAAACACACAGGTTTAACACTATATGAACAGTGACTTTTAGCGCAGTAAAAGTAATGCTGGTTATAAAGCGATTATAGAACTGTTGATTTTGGGGTCTCGGCTGGCATCCCTTGGGATAGCTTTAGCAGCCCGCGTGCTTGTGGGTTCCGTACACTGCCATGGAGCGGCTCGGGAGGGATTTGTCGTTTGTCCCTTCATGCTCGGCCCCCATCCCTGCCCTCCCAGCGCCCTCGGGCCCCTCCAAGCCACTTCAAGGCTCCCAGGCCGGGGGCTGCCTCGCCGCCTCCCGCTCCCACAGGCGCCCCTGTATTTTTTACCAGATCCTCCTGATTTTCAGGCCCCGCGGGGTGGACGGAGCTTTGGGGGACACGATGGGGACGGCGAGCGCGGCCCCAGCAAAAAGGGGGTGCAGTCCCGAGCCCCGCTACGACCCGTGGAGGACAACATGGCGCCGTGCGGGGACTACAACTCCCAGCATGCACCGGGGCGGGGGGCTGCGCAGCGCCGTCGTGACGTGGCCGCGAGGCGGCGCGCGCA